TTTCGAAATGTGTGCGTTTAGTGGGCAAAGGCCCTCCCTAACATCAGAAACAAACCCCATGTCGATATCTGCGCTCGTTTGGGCACAGGAGTCAGAAGAAACGAAACTACCCCGAAACGTGAGAATCGCTCGCTTGGCAAGTACACGCCACCCTGGAGTGAACATGCCAAGTACACTCCAGGTTGAAGTGTACATGCATGTACACTCCAGGTGGAGTGTACCATGTACAAACTTGAGTTTGTAGAGTATATGTACGCTGAATAGGACTTAAACCCTGACAAAAGGCCACTGTCACATGGTGCACTAAGGCTGTCGAAGGGTACTGCGGGTCGAAGTGACACTTTGGCCCATCACTTTGGGATAACTCAGCAACAAACAGATAAATTAGAATTTCAACAGAATTAAAGGTGACGAATCATTCACATGACTTATGGATGTAATGTGATTGTATTACGGGGTCGGCGGCCAATTGAACCAACCCGTCACATGGTGCCCCACCTTCCTTACTCCAGGCCTATGTCCACCGTGATTGCGGCAAATTTGAAAATGTCCCTTGTACCCTACGTCGTCCCTTTCACATTGGGTTGCAGAGTATGCGCTGTATTTTCATGATGATGGCTATACCTGCGCCACTAGAGCGAGGGGAACGCGACGCTCGGCAGGGGCGTGTCTTCAGGCCTCGGCCAGACGGGCATGCTGAGGTCGCCGAAGACGATGGTGGGGAACAGGACGGTGAAGACGATGCCAATGGAGTACACGTCCCAGGCTCGCTGCAGGCGGTTGCAGTAGCGCGCCGTCAGCTCCAGCTCCTCTGCAAGGTCGGCGCCATTGGACTCGATCGATAGTCAGCTTTTCAGACAGCCGCTCGCTCCACCGGACGAGTTTGGCTGTGGCAAGAAGGTACGGAAAATTTGTTTTTCTTTTTTCTTTTTTTTTGCGAAGATCTCCGCAGCCCATTTATCAATAGTCTCCGTAGGATCTTCCAGTATCCTCCGTAGGACTTGGCAGCATTCACTATAGATCCACTGGTAGCTATCGAATGTGACGTCATATTCGTTGGAGTGTGAATTTTGTCACGTTCGTTTGAATAAGATGTCACATTCGTTTGAACGTGGATCAACATTCAAATGAATGTGACATTATATTCAAAATTCACATTCGAACGAATACGACGACACATTCGTTAGCTACCAGTGGATGACTGTACGGTCCTACAGAGAATACTGTCAGGTCCTACGGAGAATATTGACAAGGGGGCTACGGAGAATTTACCACAAGCTGTTTACAGAATTTTCCGTAGCTTTTTGCCACAGTGTTACAAGCATTCTAATAATTCATTATTACGAATTAATTTTTGAACAATATTTTAGTGTCTTCCTGTGTTCATAAACGTAAATTCAAGGCGGTTGGATCCTGTTTTTAGACATTTAGCTTTTTCACTAGCGGGAACGGCGTCAAAGTATGCTCCCAGGGCCTTCGGCAGTGACTCGTCGCACTGTAAATCTCTTACGGTGAAAGGCTGCACCAACATCGCATGGTAAAGATCTTTCTCATAATTAAAACTAAATCCGTCAAATTGTTTCTTGTAAACTTCGAAGAATTTAGTGCATCCCCTGAAAATGGAAAGGTCAGACTTTTGACTCCTTAAACGGTCTTACTGAAATGTACGACCGAAAAAGGGTCATACTGAAATGTAAGACCGAAAAACGGTCATACTTTATAGTGTATCACGGCACTGTTATTCCACTTGCAATACAGACCGCACTTTCTGCGGAATACAAATTTCATCGCACTTTTCTGTGATGATCATTGCAAAAAGGTGTGATGAGCTACAGTATCGCAGAATTTTGCTATGACCATTGCAAACAACTGTAATGATTCCAGATTGTCAGCTGTATCCTCATATCTACTATCGATACATCGATACATCGATTCTCTACTGTCGATATGGCACCTCCCCCCCCTCCTCGCTGGCCCACTCTAGACAGAATCTCGCCAGTTCCAAACCAGACACAATCGTGCTTACTTGTTCCTTGGCCCTACTCTCCAACACACGTAGCGACTACAGCATTTGGCGACGAGGTGAATTCACGGCGAGACCTCAACGGCGCACCGACTTCAGCTACGAACCAGCTTGATTTAACCTCAACAAGGACAATTCAGGCTGGGTAATTCGTCGGCGCAGTCAACTTCGTCGAATGGACAGTGACTCGGGGGACGAATTACTGCTGAACGACGACGAGTCCTTGCTCCTGGACGAGACAAACGCCCAGGGCAGCAGGGCGTCATGGTGGGAACTCGTCGAAGACCTGGATCCCTGGACCTCGGTGGCCGAGGACGCAGTGGAACAGGCAGCGCGCATCGCCCCACCACCCCCAGTCCAGCCAGTATGTCCGACTCCGCGAGTCGCTCAACCCAGGGGTCTCAAACTGGCGGAAGACCGCGGGCCGCACCGCGCACCGGGAGAAAAGAGAGAGATGGGAGATCAGGCGAGTAGGCCGGGGAGGTGTGAAATCGGCGCTGACCGGCGCTGGCTTTGCTCGCCTTCGTCCAAACGAAGCGAGCACATCGTCCATCTCTCTTGCTCTCACTGACTCCTATGGGAAAGACAAGGATAGATGCCAGCGGGCGACACACCGGGCTCGAACCGGCGGCCCGGCGGCGATGAGCCAGCGCTCTGCCGCCTCGGCTCAAGTCGGCCGCGCGAGCACACTGTCTGTCCTTGTCCCTCCCATATAACCGTGGGAGTGCGAGAGAGACAGCATCACTGCCGGCCGCTCGACACATTCGACAGCAGGGAGACGAGCCAGCCGCCGTCGCCGGCCCGGCCTGGACTTGTGTCTCTCGCCTATCTTTCCCATTGCGGCCCGCTGCGGGCCGCACTGCGGCCCGAGCAGCGCCTGAGCGGCCCGCGGGCCGCGTGTCTGAGACCCCTGGCTCAACCCACGCCGCCGCCAACGCCGACGCCGCCAGTGGACCAGCCGGCCAGGCCGGAGTACCCGCCCCCCGTGGCAGGGTCTCCGTCCAGTCGACCGCCACGGCCACCGTCACCAACAGCTCTTTCGCCACCACGGCAACAACCTCAACCTCAGTTACGATCAGTGGCGACTTCGCCAATTGCCTGGCCGGCGCCGCCCCCTGTGACACCGCCGGGCCGCCGCGCGCAGGTCGACGCCGCGACCAGCCCCGTCGTCGTGGTCGCGAGCCAGCCTCCAAGGACCGCCGGGTATGCCCCCCTGCTCGCGCCGGAAGGACACCCCCAGCCAGCACGGACTTCAGCCCCGCAAACAACGCCGACAGGGAGGCCGCAGTCCATCATAATCCGGGTGCCGCAGCAGGACTCCGTGAGGTCACGGTCCGCCCCGGGCCGAACTGTATCCACTGCCCCTGCTGCCGTGGGACAGGCTTCCAACAGTGGCAGCCGCGGCCACGGCCCCAATCACCAACAGGAGAGCGGCGCGACAGGCCGCAAGGATCACACCCCCGAAGAGCGCAAGATAAGAAATCAGCTGAGGAATGTGAGGAGGAGGCACAAACCCTTATCCCAGCCTGGCTCTTCAAATGACAAGTCCAGCCACTCCAGGGGGGAGGAGGCGGGGACAGCCAGGGCGGGACCCCGCGGAGGGTCCGCCTGGGGCGCTTCGGCTGAACGTCAAAGAAACCTCCGTCAAGACGGCCCGGGGGGGCGTAACAGCAGGGCCGGTGGGCGGCCGAGCCAGGCGGGACCCCGCGGAGGGTCCGCCAGGACTCGGCCACCACCAGAGGCGGAACCAGAGAGAAGACCGGAACGCAAGAAGACGCTACCCGCAAAACTACGCCTGGACCACGCTCAATACCTACCTATGGACCTCAGCTTGCATTAAGCTTCATTATCTGACTTGAATCAGTTTCATATTTAGTTCTAATTACTGATTTGTAAAAAAAAGTATTATTTTTGTTAAATAAACGTGGGATTTAGGGTCGTCCAGTAAAGGGGGAGGGGTGCTGTATCCTCATATCTACTATCGATACATCGATTCTCTACTGTCGATATGGCACCTCCCCCCCCCTCCTCGCTGGCCCACTCTAGACAGAATCTCGCCAGTTCCAAACCAGACACAATCGTGCTTAAGGGAGTATGGGGCGATTTGTAACAGGGGCGATTCGTAACAAATGCGTTTATTAATTTAAGTGGAGGGAGCAGAGGAAAATCTGAGTATGGCCCCTCTTTCGCTTCAAGTACAGGGTCCCTCAACAATCGAAGCGGATGTGATCGGTGCTCAGGTATAGTTTTGGAGGGCGTCTGAAATATAGGGTACACCGAAAACAGGCAAATCTTTTATTTTGAGTTCTAGGAAGTTTCTGTCTGAGGCTCCCCAGGTATGAATCACCATCGGAGTACCGTTGGGCCCTTGAAGCGTGACCCCTTTACTATGTAACCACATGGCAAAAGTTGCTTTTACTTTGTCCAGTGACAGTTAGGGACGGATTTCTTGCGTAACAGGCATTTGGGGTGATTCGTAACAGACCCGTATAAAAACAAGAATCTAAGTAGTTTTTGCAATTAAATGCTTGAATTATTTCTCGAATCATCTGCTGCCTAATTCAAATACATTTACACAGCTCAAAATGCGTTTTAAAGCGAGTTATTCTATTCTTTCCTCCAAAGTTGAAAAAAGTGAGGTTAGGGTTGACATAGCCGGTCAGTTAATGCTGAGGCGGTCAACGGCAGCTTGTAATGTAGATTTTAAGGCGTCTGCAGGACATCCGAAGAACAATTGCTGGAGGGGATGACATTCCCGACGGTGTTTCATTTAATGTGTAGGATGTTATGAAAGGCCCCAAGGCTGTTACAAATCACCCCATGCTGGGGCGATTCGTAACAGCATGCAAGGGTTTGGAAAGCGTCTTAGATTTCAAAGATTACGGACTCCAGGTTGATCCAATGGAGCTGCACAGTCTAGATGAAGGGCCAGACTGCTCAACTGGCACAAGTTTGACACCGATATACAGAATGTTCTTAATTTTGTATAGAGAATTCCAAAATCTGTTACAAATCGCCCCATACTCACTTACTTGTTCGTTGGCCCTACTCTCCAACACACGTAGCGACTACAGCACAGATTTTGTGTTGTCATCATCGCATTTTTTTGCAATAATCCCGATCTTTATTGCAGAAAGTTGCAATGATCATTGCAGAATTTTGTGCGATACAGAAGTCATTGCATCTCAGGAGCAATGATTCGTGGGAATCACATTTTGGATATCATCGCACGTTTTTGTGTTGAAAGTATCGCAACTTGGATAATCGGTCAGATGTCTCACCCATTGAATTTCAGTGTCGTTATTTCATTTACGGATACTATAAAGTAAAGCTAGCGTGTCTTAGAAATATCTATCTCCAAAATTGAACCACTATTAGATGAATTTAATTACAAAGTTGGGGGCACCACCTACTTTAAGTTTCTGAGTTATTGAGATTTACGTAAACTTTTAGTCGTTTCTCCTAAATTCTCACGACAAAGGATTAGCTACCCAGTTTTCAGATTCTGGCAATTATATCCATTTTATTCATAGGAAAAGATAGCTTTGGCAAATTTGAAAATATCAGTCAACAAGAGGCTCTAAAATCTACCGCAGGCCATTTTTATTTTTCTTCAAATTTGTTTTGGTCTTGTTGGTTTTTCAGGAAAACTAGATATTTAGAAAATGATATTTAAATAAGCGCCATACGACTTTTCGAGGGGTCCTATTCAAAAGATCTTATCTGGGCGCTCCTATTCAGAGAATCTTATCTGCAAAGCAAGCGAATTTCACCAAGTTTCATCATTTCAGGTAGCTGCAAATCAAAATAATTTGGGATTGTATAGTCACACAAACATGAAGATGAAAGATCGAAGGAATTAATAGTACGTGTAGAAACGTGTTTCGCTTACCCTCCTCCGTCCCATATGGTCAAACTTCGCGTGCGTTGCAGATAAGATTCTTTCACTAGGAGCGCCCAGAAAAGAACTTTCGAATAGGGGCCGTCGTTTCACCATCTGAACAACGTCCGCCGTGCCCTCCAGGGCCCTGGCCACGGCCGCCATGCCTCGCAGTGTGCTGCCGAACGCGGCGCGGCGCCACGCGTACAGGTACTGCGCCGTGGTGCACGACACGACGCCCACCGTGATGCGGATGCCCAGGCTGGCGTCCAGGTACGAGTCCTTGGTCAGGCAGTCGCCGACGGCCAGGGACGCCGTCACCGCCGAGATCATCACCGACACCTGCCGCAGGCAGGCAGGGGCCGTCTCAAATTATTGTACAATGACGAATGTGACGTCATATTCGTACGAGTGCATTTTGTCACGTTCGTTTGAATACCTATGATGTTACATTCGGTTGAATGTTGATCCACGTTCTATTCAAACGTTCTATTCACATCATATTCAAACGACCGTGACAAAATTCGCACTCCAACGAATGTGACGTCACATTCGTCGGCTACCAGTGGTCGCTTCTAAATTACTTATTTACTTTCATGTACCAATTTTTCTCATTTAAGCTGATAATAAAAGATGAGAATAAAAGAGTCTTGATCAATACCCAATTTTTGGCGAGGTATACTTTATCGCCCAAAGTTGTGTGAGGAAGGATTCTCGCCCAAATTTGGGGGAGGAAGCCGTCCTCACCGAAATGAGAGTGAGATGTATCACTATTTGATTTTCAGTGTATATTCAACCTCAGAAGCAACGCCCCAGTGTAGCCTTATATATTGAAGATCCCTCTTAAACAATGTATATCATATTTTACTGAGTAAATTGAAACGAAATAAAGTCAAGTAACATTGATAAGGAACAAATTGAATTGGATCTGAAACTTGTTCATTTGACACTTTAAATCGATAACTTTTTAGGTACTTTGGAACTTCGTTGGCCCATGTCGCCTCTAAAACGTTTCAGGGCACTTTCGTTTAAGTTCAAAATGCTGATTTTGCGAGATCTGCTGTAGCTTGGAAACGTAAAAACAAACAAATTCTGGCCTTCAGGCTACGAGTGTCCCGGATCCCCCCGCCCCGTGGTACCTTGGTGCCCTGCAGGGTGTTCCAGACGCGGCGGTACAGGCCGGCGCCCTTGGCGGGGCACATCTCTGTGCGGCGCCTCTCCAGGTAGTCGCTGAGCCTGACGGGGCGTGCCTCCCGGGGCATCCTGCCGACCGCAGGAGCCTTCTTGCCTCGGCGTCGGCGGCTGAGTGTGCACGCATCCGTGGTCCCGGCGATTTCGGTTTGTTGTCAAAACGTCCGCCCGCTGCGAACGCTGTGGCCTGTGACCTTCCCGGCGCGTGAGCGGCGTGTGCGAGACACACACGCCGACTGAATATTTGACGCGCCGTGGGCCGATGCCAAACGCTGCGTTCGTCGCGCCGTCCTTCTCGCACCACAACGGCACTCGAGTGTGAGAGAGACACAGCGGGGTGACTTAAGGCCCAATTACCCATTACTAGGACGGGGGCATCGCGTGGCCCCACAGGCCCTACAGCAGGCGAGGTCTGAACATAGCAGTTGTTAATGTCTCTCTTTCCCACTCCCGGGCGTTCTACACGTGTGCGAGAGAGACAACGGCCCACAGGCTAATGGGCCGATTAACCCGGGCAGCCTGACGGTGTAGGCGGCGCGGACCTAACAGCTGGCGGCACGCACAGCACAGCACAGCGGGCAAATAGGTGCGTGTGCTCTTCGAACAAACACAAAGAGATGCGTGGATTCTAAGGAGTACGTCACGAGGCGATTCTACAGACCCTCCCGGACCTCTCACCGAAGCTTGCGCCCAGCCAACCAGTGGTCAATAGGAGACCTCCCCCGTACATAAAAAGGAGTAAATAAGCAGAATGGTAATGGGCTCCATGCATGGTTAAGTGTAGCCGAAGGGCCAATAAACGTGTAACAACACAGATACACACGGCAACTCGTCAAACTGAAAAGGGGGAAGGGAGTGGGGGAATTTCCACGTCAAACCATCGCGGTCCAAAACGTGCTTGCCCAGTTCCAGCCTCCAAGTTTTTTCTATCGTGGCCCACCAGAAAAAAAAAACAATTTTTTTTTAAATTTCAGAACTTTGGCAATAAAAGCCAACTTTGTCAGAAAGACGAATCAAAATAAGTACACTCTAAATGTAGGGAGTCCAGAAACTGGGCGCCTTTGTCGCCCGCCCCACTTTTTAGGGTGCCAAATGTCGCCCAGTTTCTGGGCACCTTTGTCGCCCAGTCTAGGGGTGGACAATCCACGATTTTTCGATATCGCAAACGTAATAGCGCGCCAAAGTTACTTCATGGCATTACAAAACTCAACGCGATCTGGGGCAGGTCTGTAACTTAAAGCTTGACCCTCGCGCATCGACGTTGAAAATTCGAAAATTCGACTTTACGGGTTTTTCTAAAAACATCCATAGAAACTGAACCAGATGTCCAAATGATGTTGCAAGACGGAAATGGAAACGTCTGATCATGCTTTATCAGTTAAAGACCACCGGGACCCTCTCCGAGCAGTAGGGGACCGCTGGGAGAAAATACAAAATTACAATTTTTTTCGTTTTTTACAAAATGCAAAAATTGCCTTCAGGGTTTGATACGGCCATCCTAACGTCACCGTAGCCGAACCATACCCCGAATCATCTTCTCTAAGGGCCCCTTTCCCGTTTTAAGCGCACGGGGTACTCCGGGATCCGTTCACACGTTAGGATTTGGACGCCAAAAACACATGTTTACTAAAAATGCAAATTATCGGTACTCAGGGCACTGTAGGGCACTCGTCCCGTCCGTATGAACTGCAGTGACTCAGAATCGATTACTAGATGGTGTCTTTGCGTCGCAGGAACCCACCAGTATATAGACAATCGGACGAAGAGACGTTAGAACGCTATTTTACTGTAAATCTCGTTAATCTAGGTTTAAAACGTATTTGGCTCGTCTGGATTAACGACAGAAGGTCGCTGCACGTTTATACAGGTTATTCTTATCCATCGCATAGGTTGTAGGTGCCTGTGACGCAAAGACACCATCTAGTATCGATTTTGAGTCAATACAGTTCATACGGACGAGACGAGTGCCCTGAGTACCGATAATTTGCATTTTTAGTAAACATGTATTATGGCGTCCAAATCCTAACGTGTGAACGGATCCGGAGTACCCCGTGCGCTTAAAACGGGAAAGGGGCCCTTAGAGAAGATGATTCGGGGTATGGTTCGGGTACGGTGACGTCAGGATGGCCGTATCGAACCTGAAGGCAATTTTTGCATTTTGTAAAAAACGAAAAAAAATTTGTAATTTTGTAATTTTTTTCCATCGGTCCCCTACTGCTCGGAGAGGGTCCCGGTGGTCTTAAATGATAAAGCATGATCAGACGTTTCCATTTCCGTCTCGCAAACATCATTTGGACATCTGGTTCAGTTTCTATGGATGTTTTTAGAAAAAACCCGTAAAAGTCGAATTTTCGAATTTTCAACGTCGATGCGTGAGGGTCAAGCTTTAAGTTACAGACCTGCCCCAGATCGCGTTGAGTTTGTAATGCCATGAAGTAAACTTTGGCGCGCTATTACGTTTGCGATATCGAAAAATCGTGTTTCACGGCCCACCCTAATGACACACTAACTGGAGAATACATCTAGTGCATGAGGGATAGAGACTTGTCAGCTCCAGAAGCGTATGGCAGGTATGCACTTGTTGGTGCATGCTTGACAGGCATGCGCTAGCTAGAGCGCGCTTGCAGGCATGCTGCAGCGACAGCATTCAATGTACGCTTTTCGATTGTTAGAGAATTTCTCAGCACTCCTAGTCTATCGGATCCTGTCTTAGCATCATTTAATCAGTTAACATCTACGTCTTCTCTTCAGTTACCTACCCTCAGAGCTTACATTACATATTTCTCGCGCAGCACAAACAATTATGATCCTTCTCTTAGGATGCGTTTTGAGTCAACTGTGTCAGTTTCGATAAGGGAACGGCCCGAGAAAACAAGCAACAACTCTAACATTCATCAAAAGAATGACTTGGAACTCCGAGCAACCTCAAAGACATTCACGCTAATTTTGGTGTACACAATTCTGAAAGATATTCCCCAAGGACAATATGACACTCTTCTACGCCTTGGTAATGAAGGTCCCATGTTGAAGCAAAATTTGTAAAGCCAAGAAGACAGAAACGGGTCCACATTTGACAAGATATACGCATGCAGCGGCGCTTTCGGGTGATTTTTAGGCGTTAAATAGGAATTTTTCATACAAAAGGTAGATTTTTGCTTCCCACCGGTCCCTGCAGCGTTCCCCAGGGTGCCTCCAACTCTCAAATCGTTATTTGGGTCTCTAGAACACCCGTGCAAAGCGCCAGACCGGGGTCAGAAAGTGCAAGGTTCAACGCTTACACCCCTGACTAAGAGGTGAATCCGTAAGGAGGGGTAGTCTAACCCTAATCTAGTTTAATAGGTACAAGCTATTAATTGATTGGAAAGACAAAGGTTCCTGTGGCCAATAGACATTCTGTCAAATGATATTTCGGCCAAGATTCAAATTCCCAATTTTCTCATGGAAAATGATTAATGCAAGGGCCGAATTTTATGAGGAGGGGTAGTTGAGAGCCGTAACTGTTTAAAATAGATAGTACAACCACTTCCAAAGGAATCCGACCAGCCCGGCCCGGCGATACCCCGCGCGCCCAGACAGCTACCTCCAGCAGCTACCTGGGCGAGGGGTAGCGCCGGCCGGCCGCGGTGGTCGGATCTTTACAAAAGGTATAAAAGGTATTTGGGGGGGGGGATGAAAGATCCCCGAGACAGCTAACAAACAGCGACCAGCTGAGCTGCCACTGCTGTACTACCTAGCGATACCCCATGCCCACGGAACAAAATAGTCCCTCTGGAGGCTGAAAACTATTTCCAAGGCCGTTTTAGCTGCGTAATAGCCTTGTAATAGTAGTGTAATAGCTGTAATGATAGGTAATACCTGTGTTATTGCGTAATAGGTGCGTAATAGACGAAATGGTTGTAATTGCTGTAATTTCCGAAATTGCTGTAATTGCACTGTAATGGTACTGTAATAGCAGAAATATCGATGTAATACTGTAATTTGCGTATTAGGTGTAATTGTCTGTAATGATTCAAATGTAATAGTCGGTCGACCATTTTCATGAGTGATTTCCCCCTTGGCACGCGTGTCCCACGTTGCACTGTCAGAAAATTCCGAAAAAAAATGGAAAAATCATGGAGTTTTTCCGAAACTTCTGCATGGAGCTCTCCATAAATGCAAATTCTGAGCTTTCTCCGAAAAAATTCGGAATTTTGAACAAAAATGCACGCTCACTATCACAGAAACACGAAAAAAAGGGTTTGCAACCAGTTAAAATTTGAGGGAAAGGTGAACCCCTACTTCTTGAGCTCAGTTTTCATAATATTAAGGGAAAGCTACAGGATATAAGTCAAATGAGCTCGAATGAGATTGCCCCTTTTGACCATTTCAGACCAAAAACTGCTTCAGCGAAGTCCTCTTTAATATATCTGAGAAAAGACTTGCATTTTACCTCCTATCTGGACCCAAGGATGCTCCGAAGAACATCTGTATAAGCCCTGAGAAAATCTCTCCGAAAAAAAAAAAGGAAAATGAATGGAGTCTCCATGAACGTGATTATAGGGTTTTTCACCATAAATTTCGGAGCTAATTTCTAACAGTGTGCAAGTGTGACAAGCGCGAGACCCGGTTTGTCTCACTCTACGAGCGCCTGTGGCATTAAACCACAGGGAACCATAGGCAGTAAGTGTGGGACAAACGTGTCTCACACTTGTAGCCTAAGTGGTGGAACAAAAGTGGCTCACTCTTGAAAGCGTGGACCATCGCGGTTCGCGCTGCATAGTTTGAGACTGTCTTACACTTGAATAGGCAGTGTAATGTACATTGTGGACGTGAACTCACCGTCGACGAGGCGCATTCGTAACCTCGGTGAAAACTGCTGTGCGGTCTTGTCAAGGAAGTCATCCAAACCTACTGAACAAAATGACGATTAGCTTTGAAGAAAGAAGCTAGGAACCTCAAATTGGTGACCCTTGAAAGTAGTTCGACGACAAACCAGACTCACAGGCGTACTCAAAGTGCGTAGAATGGGGGTCCACTTGAGAGTGAGTCAAGGCTGCTTTCACAGGCTCAAATCTGAAACATTTTCAAAGAATAAAGGATCAAGTGTATCGCTAAAAAAAGGGCCTTGCAGCAGAAAAGTCATGCCTACACTCTACAAAAAATGTCCTGTCAACGCCGTTAATTTATTACCAATGTTTGCTGTTATGCAATTCACGGCGTTCACTGTGATCTCGGCAACAGTGTTCACTGTGATCTGGCCACAGTAAACGCCGTGAATTGGAGCCTGATTTGCAGTCCTTCGGTGTCCAGCGGCGTCAAACTCACAGTGTTTACTGGGGACCAGATCACAGTGAACACCGCGAACAAGATCACAGTGAATCCCGTGAGCAGATCACAGTAAACGCTGTGAATTGACCTACAGTGAAAACTGGTAATAAATTAACGGCATTTACAGGACATTTTGGTAGAGTGTTAAAATCGTTTTGACACAGAATTCACAGTATTTTTGTCAGAACGGTGGCAGGGATAGTATTAAGGGGAGGTTCTACTGAAAATCTTACTTTCTTCAAATTGAGTCCCATTATCAATATTCATTGTAAATTTAAAGTAGTTCATAGTAAATAGTTAGATTGAAGTTTGGAGAGCAATACCTAGCCCCAACCCAGTCGAAGAGGAATTTTCTGCTATTTCCAGTCGTAACTTGAAAAATTCTCCTCGCAAAGTATTTCAACGTAAACTGATGTTCTGGGCATTTTTCACTTCTTTGGTTCATAATTGAAAACCGTGGCATTAGTAAGATACTGGGACCATTACAAAACCATAAGCTGTGTTTTTAGACAGCATGTCAATAAAATTTCAAGAAAATGTTAAAATTTTTAATATTTGAGTGATTTTTTTCTGAAAAGCAACGACAAAATAATTTGTTGGGTCCCATGTCTTGGTGATGCCACGCTTTATTGCATAGAGCCAAGAAGTGAAAAATGTCCAGAACATCAGTTTACGTTTAAATGCT